GTGCTGCGCCCTCGCAAATATCCGTAGGGTGTCCTTAAATTTCGGGCGGGCGAAGACTAATCCTAAAGAGCTCCTCTCGGCGAGATACTGATCGGAACTGAAGGACAAGTCGAGTGTCGGGCCAAGGGGGTTGGGGCCGGAAGTGGGTGAGCGCACGCAAAGGCGGATGGGGGATTCTTAGTATGAGACTGTTACAGACATATGAGGGTATTCTGAGTCGATATTCTGATTGCCTAGTAACTACAACTACAGTGGGTTCATATACAAGTAACAGGCGTCTAGAAAATACTAATGGGGAGAAGGGCGGAAAACGGTATTAACAATAAGCTTGACTAGGAACGGGAGGTTTATGATTAGTTCGGAGGCTGATGATAACTGAGAGCGGGATTACGATAAAAGGAAATAGTTCAAGGACTACAAATATAGATAGACATATATGAAACATAAGATTGAACGGATCAACATAATAAAAGGGGACGTATCAAAGTTTGACCAGACAATACGAGTTATTTTGACGTGGGCGTAAATGGAGTTTGATCTTCACGAAAACATACGTCAGCTTCGGGGCCGATGGTTTCCGAGACGGTGACTTGAAACATTGATAGGTGGCGATAACCTCGGGACCGATAGGGTTGCGACATGGTCGTAACAGTTCCCAAATAAGTTCCCGACATGGCACTTAACATTGTTGCAGGCATGGATGGGTATCTAGTCCTGTAATCCTTCATGGCAGCAATGACCTTATCTCTCAAAACTCGAGGAGTGTAGTAAGAGCTCCACTTCACGTTGACAGGCTCCGAATAAAGTAGTTGGCCATGATGCTTGAGCATAACTTATCTCGGCGGGAAGACCAAGGTATTCTTCATGAAGGTGTGAGCATTTTGCCTTTCCAAGGGACTCAACTGCTTGAAGTTTGAGTTACCTTCCATTTAACCGGATTCACGATACTCAGCGTGTGAGGAGTTCCAGACAGTGTTTTGTAAAGTCGTGAATCTTGACACCTCGCAGCTGTGTAGTTAGAATTTGATATTAGATAGTTGAATATAAAAGATTTTCTTTGTAGAGAAAGAGTGGTCCGGCCCAGATCACCACTGTGAAGAGTGGTGGAAGTTCTGACCGTTCTATATACAAAGAAATGAGTAGAATGGGGAGAAGGATGATTCGAGTGGAGGCCTCGACTGCTATAGTTCAAGACCTGAAGTGTTAGATAGCTTAGATAATGCTACCTATGTGGTAGCTGACATGTTACCCTGATCACCACTTGCTGTAGACCTAGTTTATGTCTTACAAGTGGTGGTGCTTGGGTAAAAGTGTGTTTGAGTTTCATTTGGTGCCAAGTGCACCCACAAGTATACACAAAGCTTTGAACTAATGAAATGGTGCAATATTTGAAGAATATAAAGGATAGAAAAATATGAATAAAATGTGTAAAATATAAATAAAATAAAAGGAGTGTTTTATCACAATGAAACTGGTAAAAGCATACTCCTCACACTCTGATATATTCATTAATTTAACTCTGTTCCATGACTTCTAACAAATGTTGAAACTAATCTGGATATTACAAATGGTGTACACTTACCTTTTTACATACTTATATGATTAGACCACAGTTGCATATAGGGTTGAACACAGGTATATTTATGTATTGAAGTAGTTGAATAATGCTTTGCAGAACACCCTGTGAGTGTGTGATTGGAAAGTAAACACTAATATATTCAACTGTAAAGACATACCTGTGAGTATGTGATTGGAAAGTAAACACTAAGGAGACTTTCCCACACCCACAGCAGAGTATTCTACTGGGTGCCTATCTAAGCACACAAGAGTTACCAAACTAAGTAACTCACTAAATACTGCACCTACAGTGCTGGGAAAATATTACAAATATCAGAAAAATATAGGGAGAAATATAGGTAACATAATAGACTATGTTAGAGCTGTAGTATTATACTCTAACAATACTGTGGGTATGAACTTCTCAGACCATCATTGTGACTGCATCCACCCATACCAAACTGTAAAACTTACAGTTTCATGGTCATTGTTGTTGTATCAGTGAGGCTCATTCCCTCAATTATGGTGGATAAGGCTGACCTACTTCATTGGCAATGGGGTGCGACAAGCCTACCATAACGGCGACAACAACATTTGTTGTCATCGTCGTGTCAATGGGGCTCACCCCCCATTATGGTGGATAAGGCTGCCCCCACATGTCGTGCGCCACCTCCATTCGTGGATCTTTCCAGACGAGTGAGTACCTTTACCATAACTTTTTGGATGTCCTCGAATTTAGTTTCAGTGTGAAATACTCAGTATTACGTCGTATTACTCCATGTCAATACTTCCTATGAGCAACATATTATGATGGATGCACCCTGCTCCTATGCAGTCTCTTAACAGCCCTTTCGTTTCCAACAAAAATCAATTACAAGATTTATACCGTGTTGACGTAAATCATAGGTTGTATCCGCAAACAAGGATGACCACGCTGTCTGGTTTCGGGAAACACGCGGCGGTGGGACTGCCAGAGGCAGATCTCTCGGTTGAGATTGAGGCGTGGAAGAGCGAAATATGTGCATGTGCAACGTGAAGTTAAGGAAGGATTTCAAGGTTGGAACAAATTGAGACGGGTGAAGCCACCTGCGAGTGGCAAAATCTGATGATCGGTCTGAAGGGTGTTCATCCTCGCTTTGTCCAGTCGCCCTGAGAACCCAAATTAGCGGTGGTGTAGAAACAGGGTGAGTTGAATTGGCCAAAACGAGGGATGTTTCCAATTGTTTTTGAACGACTATGACGCGCTGCAATTTGCTAGCACCCATTGCGCGAGACAGGCTTGTTAGTTGCCAAAGAGTGGCGTTATATGGGTCAAAGATATGTCCACCTGATAGCTCGCACCAACAACGGTCTAGCAGGGTTGTAAGCTTGGGCGCTGGAAGAAGCTGAGAGGTAGGGATATGTTTTTCGTCGGTTAACGAGGCATTCGGGAGATAAAAAAGCTGAAACGACGCTGATACATTCGGAAAAGTGGCTTCTAACAGAGCAGAAGTCGGCACAGGCTGCCAGTAGCAGGAGGAGGTAAATAGAGCTGTAAGTAAAACGATGCAGTAGAAACTGTCGACAGATGTTATAATGGTCAAGCAAAGGAGGAGGAGATGCTCACTTACCAAGGCCGGGCGTGTAATATGAGGGAAAGTAGGAATAAAAGCAAAAAATAAGGGGATGCAATGGGTAACGGTAGCAACAACAGAGGAAGAAACCACCGTGTACACCTGTAACCAGAACCAGTTAAGTAAAATTCGAATTGATCGGGATGGAAACGAATGCTCTCCACTAACCACATCGATGCCACTTGAACTCGGTGTGAAAGCAAATGAGTCACTTACGTAATCGATCAAGTATATTCTCTAACTCTCGCACGTAGATGAAAGACGTAAAAAGACGTAAATATAGAACTTCCACTACAGACAGGTCTACGTTATATTTTCTTTGGGACTGGTGCATACTTTCCTTCAGGTTCTACTGCTTCGCACATCAATTAATAACCACTGGTGACCTAGACTGAAGGTCCAGATGCACCTTCCAACGGTGGTGGACCGTCATCATCTGATTCATCTGTCGCATCACCAGACGGGCCATCCTCGTCATCCTCAAGGTTACCCCCACCGCCAGGACCGCCACCCATTTGTGCCATGAGCTGAAAAGGATATTAGGACAGGATTGAATTTCTCTAAAAAAATGTTCGCACCTGCTCCATATCCATGCCACCCATGCCACCCATGCCGCCCATGTCGCCCATGTCGCCCATGTCATCCTCCTCTTTGACAGGTTCTCCATCTTGTTCATCTTCATCCACCCACTGCATCGAAGGTATTAATTATGATTCTCAATAGGGCTGTGCATGTTCATTACCTTGCTAAAATCTGTCCTTACAAACTTCAATTTTTCTTCCTTGTTAGTCAACCGAGGCCAGAATTCAATTTTGATATCCTTTTTGCGCAGAACAAGTGCCAAATGGCGACCTGTGAGTCGTTTGGATGACTCCTGGACAAAATGCATTAATATATCAAATATAGCATTATTGACAAGGTGGACTCACTTCGGGTGCGATTTCGCCAAAGAAGTCAAGAGTGAACGCGTACTCTTTTAGTGTATCTCCCGGACTATGGCCAAGAATAAAGAAAAGGTAAACAAATACTCTGGCAGGACACTTACTTTCCTGCCTTGGCCTTGAAAGACAGGCCAGTAGCTGTCAGATTGTACTCCAAGCTTGACTCGATAATCTCTGGAAGGTTGATGGTCAAGTAAACAACGTTCTGACGAGATGGTAATTAGTTAAAATACAACAAATAATTGAACAGAACTTAAGCACTTGCCTTTTGCGGGACGGAATCTGAGCTCCTTTGAGCCCACAGAACCTCTGGATGGATCGGTGCAGACATGATAGATTGTAGAAAGCGTGTAGATTTCGGAGTCCGCCTGTGCTCAAGTATTGTTCAAATGTGACGAAGTGTGACAGGAAAGAGACAGAAACGACGAGAAGAATTCTCAAGAGGCGCCTACAGAAAAGATTTACTACACGAGGCCGAAAAGTTAGAGTTACGGAAATGGTTGTAACTCTCTGAGAATGGTCTAATACCACGTATATTCCTTTTCAGATTTAGTTTTTCGACCCTTACGATTATCCATATTGGTATTACTATATTAGGCAGATAAGCGTGCTCACCCATGATATTACTTTCTCACTTGTTTACTGGCTTCCTCCCTTCTCTGTACTTTTCTTTCTCTTTCTTGTGCCCTGTGGAGACTGTACATTGCCATGTTTCTTTTATTTTTTGCTTTCATGCATACTGTTCTTACAGGATGGAGTGCCATGATGGGAATTCAATGTATATATTGAGTCTGTACTAAGGATATCCATGTCTGTCTGTAGCAAGATATTAAACTATTTCAAAAATTATATCAAGGTCCCCAACCTTGTTAAAGGTATAGAAAAGAATTGACCCAGCCTGGGATTGAACCAAGGACTTCCTGGCTGTGCTCTTAACCACTGAGCTACTAGACCTTATGGTCTAGTATTATATGATGGATTATATATACTTAGTTCGCCAATTTTAAGCTGCTTTTGGCCACCTTTTTTGCCTCCGTGTTCATCGCATCTCTCTCAGGATACTCCAGGCACTCAGCTCCCCTGAGATACCTGCACCTGTATTCCCAATTAGGTATTACCTTCCCACACTTAGTTGCACCCTGGGCAAAATATGTAAAATATACAATATTTATGATATAATTGCAAGAGATCATCAGTACAACTCGAAGTTTGATGAAACAATGTTCAATATTATTAATGCCAACTGGATGTCACAATCATCACATGTCACAATATTGTCACAAACATTCAAAGGCAACTTTTGACAACTCTTCGACTTATTGAATTCAACTCGACAAAACCAAACATTATTCAACACCATCAAATCTCTTTCGACATGTCTCATTTCAATATCATGTATGATTTCATAATTAGTTCATAACATACTGTAGTCATAACAATATGACGAAAAGCATAAAAGGGCTACGAAAGGAGTGAGGGAAGTCAGTTGAAATATCTGTATATTAGTGATATTAGTAATCTGTCTTGTCATAACTTCTTCGACAAATACTTCCGTGAGTTCTCGCAACTGGTAATAGCCTCTTACTTCATCGACAGGGTGAATATATACTTTGTCGAACGAGGCTTTTGAATTCGATTAGTAGAATATTAGGCTTTATTGAAGAATAATCGATTCGTGACACTGGAGCACACCCTCAAGGAAAGTACAAATCCTCCTCCTTCCTCAGCGCATATTCTAATCTATAATTTTATTGCTGACTATGGATACTTGCAGATGTGTTTATGTGTGATTTGTTGATGTTGGTGTCACAGGCAAGATCATTTTCCTGCACATTGGACTGACTTTGGATTCCATTGTAATAGGGTGTGTACTTCAATCAAACAAAAAATCTCAAGCGGTGTTTATGAGCATTCTGGAACTTCTCACCAGTCTTGATGGTTTTGTGTACTGAAGAAAAATGGGAAGTTTTTCATATTGTTCATGAGTTACAGCTACTCAATGCAGTTATGATCAAGGATGCTGGTGTGCCCCCAAATATCGAGCCTTGTGTGGAACATTGCACCAGTGTTCTATTTACACGCTAGGTGACTTATACATAGGTTACGACCACATGCCCTTGATGGTACTTGTGATACAATTCTGGAGAATCCTGGCATTCAAAGGTTTGTTTGGAAACATTTTCAGGACATTAATTGTGTTTTTCATAGAATTAAACATGCTGGAGGAACTTTCTCCACCATCAAGTTGTATTATCAGTATTGTCACGAATCAATTATTCTTCAATAAAGTCAAATAATATTCTACTGATCGAACTCAAAAGCCTCGTTCGATGAAGTATATATTTGCCCTGTCGATGAAGTAAGAGGCTATTACCAGTCACAAGAACTCACAGAAGTATTTGTCAAAGAAGTTACGAAAGTTAGATTACTAGTATCACTAATTTACAAATATTTCGACTGACTTCCCTTGCTCCTTTTGTAGCCCTTTTATGCTTTTCTTTATATCGTTATGACTATGTTATGAACTAATAATGAAATCATTCGTGACATCAAAATGAGTGTGAAGAGTCGATAGATTCTGACTGTTCAATATATGAAGTATAGTGTTTATTCAACTACTATTAGCAGGTATTGACCGTTCAGTACAATACCATAGATTGCTAGACTGACAGTACTAGCAAGGAGACATGCTACGCATCACAAGAGCAACTATACAGTTGCTCTTGACAGCTAGAATGAGAGAATGAAAGAGTTGACCTTTATGGTACCACTCACAGCTAGATGTAAAATAGATAATCAACGAGAGGCTGGATATCTAAAGTAAAGAGATAGTAGCGCAAGTCAACTATAGTGTCGAGGAGCACAAAGACCTTAGAGTGAAACTTGACCTTCACGGTTCGAGTCCAAAGTCTGTTAGTATGCGAGAAAACGCTACCTTTATAGGTAACTGAGACGTTACCCTTGACACCTCTCGCTATTCGACGTCTGGGTCGTTTACGAGGTGGTGTCTGCTGGGTAAAAAGATGTCTGTCATTTGGTGCCGAGAGCGCCCATAGGTATACACAAGACTTCGAACTAAGAAATACGGGTATGCTCAAAGGATATAGGGAATTAAAGAAAAGGAATAGAAACTAGATAATAAAGTACTATAATGTGCATATTAATCCACTGTCCAATTATGCATATATGCATACCCTTCACAATGAGACATGTTGAAAGAGATTTGATGTTGTCAAATAATGTTCGGGTTTTGTCAAGTCAAATTCAATGAGTTGAAGAGTTGTCAAAAGTTACCTTTGAATATTTGTGACAGTATTGTGACTTGTGATGGTTGTGACAAGCATGTGAGTTAATATTGTGGTCATACATACAATTATAATGGCCATATTCCAGATCCAGCCCGAATATCCAAAAATTAAATTATTAACTGGCTGCCTTGTGGCAACCTTACAGAAGTCTGTGGACTCTTGGGGACTTGTGGTATCATCAGACTTTTTATTGAGCATTTCACTGAGATATCTCACCTGCCAGTATCACTGACATGGAAAGATACTCCTTCCTTTGGGGTGAGCCTCAGCAAACCACTATGGATTTGCTCAAAAAGGTAGTTACCTCAGCATTGTGCTCATACTGCTCAACTATGCATGTGGACGTTCAATTATTGTCACTTTAGACTCTTCCAACACCATAACTGGTTGGATTCTTTATCAAAAGGATGAAAGTTCTCAATGGCACCCTCTGCATTATGGCTCTATTGCGTGAAATGACCAGGAATCTCATTATTTGCAGCCCAAAGTTGAACTTTATGGTGTTTACCACTCCCTTTGCGCTCTTGGGATTTATCTTATTGGTCTGCCCACATTTGCTCTCAAAGTTGACACCAAGTACATTAAAGGGATGCTCAATAACCCTGATATTCAGCCAAACAACATGATCAATAGATGGATTGGAGCAGAGCTGTTATTTAGATTTCAGCTCATACATGTGCCTGGCAAAGATCACACCAGACCTGATGGCTTATCTAGAAGAAGAGGTGCTGAGGGTGATCTAGATGATAAGGACAATGGATGGGTGGACGATGTTCTAGGATTAGGAATTTGGGTAAACTGTTCGATGGATCAGAATGGATACTTCAAGAATGGCTAGTGGGCATGGATGTTGCAAGCTACATCAAGATGCCAGATACTTCTGGCATTTCCCTCCCATATTTGGCTCAACACTATTTTAACACTTTCTCTTCCTTTCTTTGGGACTGCCATACTGGCTTCTCCGTGGTTTAGAAGTACCTTCTTCTTTAAGAGCTTCCTGTAGTGCAAGGATAAGCTCTGTTGTACCATTTACTGCCATTGGCCACTTTTTTAGAAAGACCTGAGTGTCACGTCCACATCTATTCGTGGAATTAAAATCAAGATAGTATGAGTCTAGTAAATAGAAGTTGAATACACTTTAAGATGTATTCTTCAGCTATTAGTTTACGAGCACGGTAGCTCATTGCAAAAACCAGGTGAGTCTTCCATTCAGTGGGCCAATCCTTCAGAGGTTTGTGGAGACCTCAGATTTCATCTATGTTTTCCCAATCATGTATGAATGTGAGCCATCGCTCATACCTTGGAATGCCAATTTGTGCAGCTGGAATGCATAGCCCAGGGGGTGGAGATGGCACTGACAATGATGATAATGGAAGTGGAAATGGGGTCACATTGGTGGTGGTGGTGTTAGGTTGTATTTCTGTGTGTTCACCATGCTGGTGGGAGGCTGCTGCTACACCAGAAATTGAATGGGAGAATTCAGCTTTAATTTTTTCCCCTATAGATCTCTCCATAGATGACCACAACTCTTTCATTTCTAGGAGTGACATTGGGTGGATATCCTTATACTCACCAAGGAATGACATGGTGACTTCATGTTGAATTGGTCACAAAGTGTCACCATCCTCATAATAATGGAGCTCATCAAGTAAGTACCTTATCAGAGTATCTTACTTTACTAATATTAGCTCTTGTCAATCTCTGTCCAAGGTTTAACAAAACTTACATACTCTCCCTCTGTCCATCCACCCCACCAACGGATTGTTGCTAGCATCCAACATTTTCCAACTGATGCTAGCATGAAGCGATATTGTGAGGAGTATCCTTTTACCATGGTCTCACTGCAATAAAATACTTCTTTCATTTCATTTATATTTCACATATTTTATTCATATTTTCCTATCCTTTACATTCTTCAACTATTGCACCATTTCATTAGTTCAAAGCCCTGTGTATACTTGTGGGCGCACTCAGCGCCAAAGAACAAGAGACACACTTTTACCCAAGCACCACCACTCGTAAGACATAAACTAGGTCTACAGCGAGCGGTGATCAGGGTGTAAGGTATCCGGCTATTTACTCTCTCAAATAATTAACAAACGTTGACACGGCAAGGGATTCAAGAAATAAACAAATAAAGGTCCAGTAATTTAAATACTGATAGATTAATTAGCTGCGCTATTAAGCTTAAACAACTAAAGTCAATATTTGTTTGGTCTCTTGACAAATTCAGATGAACTTGTAGTGACGTGCTCTATGAAAGTTAAGTTCTCTTTGAGAATAAAGGTTCGGGAGCTGAATGTATGCACAATAAGTTGGCAGAAACTTGTCATAAGCCTTCGCTTTCTTGTAGCCTTTTAGTTTACTATTTATAAAGATTTAACAAGCTGTTAAATAATTTATAAATAGAGAGATTGTCCGAGAGTCGAATATCCAAGCATTTGTTTAAAGATCGATTAACTGTGCTGTTAAAATGGGCTCTTGAATAACCTAAACGGGCAGGGATTTCAGTAATGAGAATTTAGATTTACTTAAGTGATTAGTAAGCCTAAAGGTTTTCCGGGAAGCTGAGGGAACTTAGATGAATTAGCTAAGTTCAAGAGAAAGAGTTCAAGATGCTGCAAGTGTAGGTGCTTGCAGTTAGAT